ACAAAAACAAAAATCCAATTATTTGTACAGGCTTCAATGTTCTGATTTTTACTTGCAGCATATCTAGATTGTAAGAACAAATATTATGTTGTTAAAATAAACAGGTAAATTGTTTAAGCAAGAAAAGATTGTATTGCAAAACTGTATTGCAATGTTGCCCAAAGGAATATATATATACTTTTCATACAGTTTTTAACCCCTGTGCTGATTCTGGTTGACCATTTTTAAAAAAAATTACAGTAAATAAAATTAGAGACTGTATTTCTTAATTTATTTTATTTCATTGATAGTCTTAGACTAAGGGAAATATTTTACAAAGAAAAGGAAATTAATATATCAGTTTAAGAGTCATGGGTATAAAGGGAAAACTATGAAAGAAGGAAGGGTTGTTTTACACCATAATGGTAGAGAAATCACTGCTTTGCTTTAAAGTGGCTGTAAATCTCTAAATTAATTTATTGTGCTAACATTTTGATTTCTTGTCCTCGTCTTAGGGGACCAGGGGAAAAATGCAGAACAAAAATCTGGTAGTTCAACCTGGTCTTGATTAGTAAGTTTGGGGAGTTATTTTTCAACAAGATTTATCTTGGAAAGAATATATTGTTTTAGATTATATCACTCCCAGATACATTTTAGCAGGTATACCTGGTGCATTTCTAATGCTTCTGCTAGTCTAATGAAAGTGTAGCCTGTTCTTTCTTTGATTATATAAATTATAATAAACATATATTTAATATACATGTTAAAAATGGAGAGCGTTCAGCTTAAAAAAATGAAAACTCCAGGTCAGATCTTCCACTTATGAGGCACCCAAGTGAAGTTTAGAACCTAAGAGCAATTCTATTCTACCCTGCTGGAGTCCTGAAATACCTGTTAAAGGTAGGTGGGCCCTCCTCCTCCACTGCTGTTTTTTTTTTATGACTCAATCTTAAGGATAAGATGGCCGTTATTCAAAAAGTAAATTCAGTTAGGGATTTACAGGAACTTGAAGAGGGTGGGAAAAAACTGCACTTAGGCACCAAAGTCCCTGTGGCATTGAACAATGGAAAATGAGGCCACGTGCAGGTATTCATTTCCACAGAAAAAAAAAAGCACATGAGTGGAAGCATACAGGCATTCTAGTCTCTTGGCTAAAGAGCTGCACAGGTGAGCTCTCCAGCCAGGACGCAGTAGAGGGCTACTGTCTGGGCCACCTCCACCCTTAGGGGAGCCCATGATTTGAGAGACTGCCCTCCTCCCTGATGTCAAGAGGCAGCCTCCCTGCCTTTTAAATCATCCCGTGTAGCCCAGATGGGCTGCACACAGGGTGATTTGAAGTTGGGGGAGCAGGGAAGCAGGGCTGGGGATAGCTTTCTCAATGCAGGGTCCTGACTCCCTGGATTTTAAATTGTTGCATATACATATATGTATGACATTACTTACCTGGCTCTGGCTCACACCTTGTCTAGGTCTTTGCAATCCCTGCACCCACCATTTACTGAGACTATGGGGCTGGGCTGTGGGGGTGGGGACCAGTCCAGGTGGAAAGGGAACAGTGGGGCAAATCTCCTAGTCCCCTTTGGGTTGAGGAAGAGTAAGGGAGGAAGAGTAAGGGGAGCAACTATTTCTCCTCCCCCCCTCCCAGAGCTTAGAGGGGAGTGTACAAGCCTACACTCTTGTCTTCTACTTCTTTCATATGACATTTTATGATTACAACATTCATAGATTAATATCTAAATCTGATAACCACTTGACTGCTTTAGGGATAGCTGCATGGATTGATTTTAGATTGCCATTAAAGAAGATGAAAACCTTCTGTGGTCATCCCTATTATGCGCTAAAGCAATGTCACCAACTTGACAATTGAACACCCATAAAGGGCCTCCTGATCAGGGTTACAATACCACAGACTTCACACTTGTGACAGGTGCTGTCCTCCTAGAGAGATCTTCCAGGTTGAGACTTGAAAGATCTTCTCCTGGAAGGAGCATTTTCCCTCAGGAGAAATTCAGTGAACATTTGTATACCTCTCATTTCTACCAGGTGATTCTCCTTATAGAAATGTAATGCCTGTAGATAACCAGCATGTGGCCCATTGTCTTCTTATGTCAGAGGCATGAATGTGGACAGTTTGGAAAGAGTCCAGCACAGAGCAAGAAAAATGATCAGGAGCCTCGGAAGCAGGACTTATGAAGAAAGGCTGAAAGAACTAAGCCTATTTAGTCAGGACAAGAAAAGACTGGGAGGGGATTTGATAATACTCTTCAAATACTCGATGGGCAATTACAGAGAGGATGAAGATGGGCTTTCTTCTGTGACCATAAGGGACAGGACTTGAAGCAATGGCCTCAAGCTTCAACAGGTTGGAGATCTTGATGAACTTTCTGACTATGAAGGTGGTCAAGAATTGGAAAATACCAGTAGAAATGATGGACATAATTATGGAATCTCCATTCTTGGAAGTTTTGAAGAGTAGGTTAGACAGACACTTGGCTGGGATGGTTTAGTCAGGTCTTGCCTTGAGCAGGGAGGTTGGACTAGATGACTTTGTGAGGTTCCTCCCAGCCTTACTTTCCTATGATCCTATAATTAGGGACTCAGACCTATATAACTACTTCTGGACAATGTCAATAAAGTTAATGGGAATCTTTATAATAAACATATATTTAATATACATGTTAAAAATGGAGAGCGTTCAGCTTAAAAAAATGAAAACTCCAGGTCAGATCTTCCACTTATGAGGCACCCAAGTGAAGTTTAGAACCTAAGAGCAATTCTATTCTACCCTGCTGGAGTCCTGAAATACCTGTTAAAGGTAGGTGGGCCCTCCTCCTCCACTGCTGTTTTTTTTTTATGACTCAATCTTAAGGATAAGATGGCCGTTATTCAAAAAGTAAATTCAGTTAGGGATTTACAGGAACTTGAAGAGGGTGGGAAAAAACTGCACTTAGGCACCAAAGTCCCTGTGGCATTGAACAATGGAAAATGAGGCCACGTGCAGGTATTCATTTCCACAGAAAAAAAAAAGCACATGAGTGGAAGCATACAGGCATTCTAGTCTCTTGGCTAAAGAGCTGCACAGGTGAGCTCTCCAGCCAGGACGCAGTAGAGGGCTACTGTCTGGGCCACCTCCACCCTTAGGGGAGCCCATGATTTGAGAGACTGCCCTCCTCCCTGATGTCAAGAGGCAGCCTCCCTGCCTTTTAAATCATCCCGTGTAGCCCAGATGGGCTGCACACAGGGTGATTTGAAGTTGGGGGAGCAGGGAAGCAGGGCTGGGGATAGCTTTCTCAATGCAGGGTCCTGACTCCCTGGATTTTAAATTGTTGCATATACATATATGTATGACATTACTTACCTGGCTCTGGCTCACACCTTGTCTAGGTCTTTGCAATCCCTGCACCCACCATTTACTGAGACTATGGGGCTGGGCTGTGGGGGTGGGGACCAGTCCAGGTGGAAAGGGAACAGTGGGGCAAATCTCCTAGTCCCCTTTGGGTTGAGGAAGAGTAAGGGGAGCAACTATTGCTACTCCCCCCCTCCCAGAGCTGAGAGGGGAGTGTACAAGCCTACACTCTTGTCTTCTACTTCTTTCATATGACATTTTATGATTACAACATTCATAGATTAATATCTAAATCTGATAACCACTTGACTGCTTTAGGGATAGCTGCATGGATTGATTTTAGATTGCCATTAAAGAAGATGAAAACCTTCTGTGGTCATCCCTATTATGCGCTAAAGCAATGTCACCAACTTGACAATTGAACACCCATAAAGGGCCTCCTGATCAGGGTTACAATACCACAGACTTCACACTTGTGACAGGTGCTGTCCTCCTAGAGAGATCTTCCAGGTTGAGACTTGAAAGATCTTCTCCTGGAAGGAGCATTTTCCCTCAGGAGAAATTCAGTGAACATTTGTATACCTCTCATTTCTACCAGGTGATTCTCCTTATAGAAATGTAATGCCTGTAGATAACCAGCATGTGGCCCATTGTCTTCTTATGTCAGAGGCATGAATGTGGACAGTTTGGAAAGAGTCCAGCACAGAGCAAGAAAAATGATCAGGAGCCTCGGAAGCAGGACTTATGAAGAAAGGCTGAAAGAACTAAGCCTATTTAGTCAGGACAAGAAAAGACTGGGAGGGGATTTGATAATACTCTTCAAATACTCGATGGGCAATTACAGAGAGGATGAAGATGGGCTTTCTTCTGTGACCATAAGGGACAGGACTTGAAGCAATGGCCTCAAGCTTCAACAGGTTGGAGATCTTGATGAACTTTCTGACTATGAAGGTGGTCAAGAATTGGAAAATACCAGTAGAAATGATGGACATAATTATGGAATCTCCATTCTTGGAAGTTTTGAAGAGTAGGTTAGACAGACACTTGGCTGGGATGGTTTAGTCAGGTCTTGCCTTGAGCAGGGAGGTTGGACTAGATGACTTTGTGAGGTTCCTCCCAGCCTTACTTTCCTATGATCCTATAATTAGGGACTCAGACCTATATAACTACTTCTGGACAATGTCAATAAAGTTAATGGGAATCTAACAGGATTCCATGAATGATAACCTGTTAATATACGAAAATTTTTTCCCTGTATTTGGCTTTGGAATACTTACGTGTTTCAAATTTGAAATATCAGTAATGCTATCAAATAATTTCCCTCCCCAATTAAGTGCTTCACAGGAAACTCAAGGTTAAACAAGTTATGCTCAGTATGATTTGTATCTAGATAGACAGATGGATAATTTAAATCTATCAAAGAAATGCCTAGCCTTGGTACACACTGAATAATATACCTCACTAACATTATTGCTATCTAACGGGTTTGCTATACTACTGGTAGCAGCAATGATATTATGATTAAATCTTTTAAAGCAATAATGTGATGAGACAACACTACCATTTACAATGTTCAGCTAATCTAATTGCCAGATTTCATACACTTGTTTATCAGTTAGCTCTGTAATATTCATAAATAAAGTATATGTAAATTTAAAGTCTTCTATATTATTACCTTGCCCCAGGCAACTTCAGCATCCAAATCAGAAGGCATTCCCTCCACTGCGGATCTCTTTGTTAATTCTGCATCTGTCACTGCCAGCCACTCTGTCAGAGCATTCATTTCCTTTCGAAGCTTCCGGGACAATTTCAAACATTTCTCTAACTCTTGCTTTTTTTCTGTCACCTGTAGGAGAAAAGCATATGGATTTTAACTCTTTCATTAGAATCAAAACCCCTGATAACTTTTAGGCTTCACATTTTCATGGAAGTTTGACTGTATTTTACAAGACAGTTTTTACCATATAGTATGGTTTGGTTTACTCTAATATTTATAAACTTGCTGTAAAACTACTATGGTCATTAAGTATAATTTACAGGTTATACAGGTAAAAATGAAGCGAATGTGGTTATGCTATTATAGAAGCATCTCCTTATAAATAGCATAACCACATTAGCTTCATTTTAAAATGAAACTCAGATTAGTGCACCTCAAGAATGTAGAATAACTTCTTCCAATCACAGTAATATGCATTGTTGGCTATTACCAGATTAAGAGCACCTCCTTGCAATGCAAGTAAGGAGTGAAACACCATTCAAAGAGCACAATGCATTTTCTCATGGACAGTCAAACCTTTAGTATCAAGCCTACATGTTATCTCTGTGCAGCAACATTGCATATGAGGAAATTAATAATACCATATGCAAGGCCATGTGTGAACAGCATACAATGGAAAAGGCATGGAACACACTGAACAATGAGGGTAAAACAAAGGACTGAATACTGGCTTATTCAGTGAGCACCATCCATTCTATTCATTAGCTGAGGCAGGGACCCTATGAAAAAACTGTTTGTAATCAAGTAATTAAAAACTGTATACGACAATGCATACATATAATGGGACCAAATTAAGACTGTTTGATTCTACAACCTGAATAATATTCTTTTGATGTTTCTGTATACATGTGTAATTTTCTAGTTTTTGTTTTTAAACAAATAGAACCATCCCCAACTCAGGAAATTCAATTGTGTGACACACATATAGATCATCATCAGAGTATGGAGTCTTTGGATCCAACATACAGTCCACTGCTACTTAAGCAAACAGACTACTTAACAGCAGTAGCAGGTTTCCACCATCAAAATTTGGGACAAAACAGGAGTAAGACAAATGCTTTCACCAAGTCTTGCCAATGTGGGCTAACAGCAGTGGAATGGTGGAACTTGGGAGATATGGGATTCTTTTCAGGTTATGGATGGTAACGTGATCTAACAGTTGGGCTAGGGGCAGAAGTTACTCACAAACTGGTTTAAGTGATCAGAAACTGAATTAAACCTGTAACAGAACAAAAGTTCAGTGCACTTAAACCACTTTCAAAATGCCCAAAGCTGGTTTAAGATACATCTGGTTAGATGTAGTATCATACTTAATTGATTTAGGTCAAACCTGTTTATGGAACTTCTGTCCCACATCCCCTCCTGGTTCAAGTTAACTCACAGCCCCCAGAATCCCAGGATGCTTTGCAAACTTGGGCTATGTTGTCTGCTCCAGTGAGTAGGGTCTGTCCCATGTCTCCATTCCCTAGCCGGAGCACTATCACACCTATGGGTGGCTGAGGAGGGGGTAGGGAGGAAAAAACCTACCCTTCTGGCTAGGCACCAGACCTCCAGCAAGGTGCTGTTCATTGTGGGGGAGGGGAAGGAGGCACCAGCCCCCAGACCAGTGCTGCCCACCTGGGGAAGGGAGGGAGAGCCTTCAAGTGTTGGCTTGACTCTACCCGCCAGAGCCAGGAACTCTGATCCATGTCCCATTCTCAGCCTCTGGGCTAGATGAGGGGGATGAAAGCTTGCATCAGGGCTTGGCTCTGCCTGCTGGTAGGGGAGAGGAAGCCTGCACTGGGGCTTTCCTTCACTAACAGAGCCAGAATCTAGAAGCCATACCCCTTCATCAGCCTCCCAGCAAGCCGAGACAGGGCCAAGAGAAGCTTGCACCAAGTTCTGGCTCTGTCTCCAGAGCTAGGAGTCAGGAGCCATGCCCCAGGGCTTGGCTTCACCAACAGGGCTGGGAGGCTGAGAAAGGGGCTTGGCTCCTGGCTCTGGGGGGAGAGACAAG